CATCAACTGTCTTCTGCCAAATACTGAATACAATGGTAATTAATTTTCGTGACTAAGGTTTTATAATTTCGAAAACTGTATAAAAATCATTTTAAATAAGACTGTACTTTCTGTCAGGTATCTTTAGAACCTTCGCCTGGGTCTTTACCTATGTACTGGTTCTTTATTTGAGGGTAGATAGCGACGTTTCAATTAGGCTGATTACTGCGTGTAATTCTGCGTCAATATCAAAGTGGATACGTTTTAACGTGACCTGCTTTAATATCTTCTGTTACACTAGTAACTACTCTTTTGTGACAGGAGCAAATACTCATATTTGACAAAAAATAACCACTTTTTGTGTGACACAAGAATCTACTCAGTATCTACAAATGCAGCTATTAACTATCTATTAACATTACTAAGTACTCCTGTGTGACACAGGTCAAGTGCAAATGTATAAAAGTCAGTTTTAGCATCCCTTTATAGTTATTGTGTTTTGCTCAAGTCATGATATGAGTTTTCCTTCTTTGTAAAAATTTCATCTTTGAAACTTGTTTAAGTCATTAACATGTTTGCTTAACTTTTTTTGTGGGAATATTTCGATTTTTTTTATAAAACACAAGTATTGGTATTTTAATTGACTAGTTAAAATCGCCGTGTTAGGTTTTTGTATTTACACAAACAAAGGCAAAAAAACTGCTTGATACCCAATGACAGACTGCGCTAAATAATATGTTTTCTACGGATGTTGTCAAATTATCACTCGTTCGACATCGAAATTTTATACAAGCAGGTTACACCCCCTTTCTCGCGCAATTATTTATCAAACCATACATAATTTATAAAACCGTATACTGTGTAAATTTCGTCGGAAATTGATACTGTAGGAGAAGCGTTTTTAAAAATTGGATGTTTTTACTGTGGTCCTCAATTTTCTGTGTTTTATCAAAATAAAGCAGAACATTCAATAAGTGATCTAAAAGCGACATATCACATAAACAAAATAGATCATTTTCAATCAAGATATCACAAATTACTGAAGTTGGTAAAATGGGGTTTACAAGTTTTAAAAAATATTTGTGTCATGAATCTGGATAGGATGACTTTTATCGGCTGTGTTAAAATAAAGATAAACATTTACATAACGACTAGGGCCTTTAAGGGTAATTTCCGGCCTCATCAGGGATTTATAATTCGTTGTTATATTCGTTATATGGATTAAATGAAGTACGCAAATATGAAATTTCAAGTTCAATCGACAACTGGTTTTGGAGATATGGCATTTCAAAGAGAGACATAAACCCGCATTTTCATAATAAAATGCGTGAATATCGTCTATTGTGATATATTTGGTTGAAACTGGCCATTGATAAGAAGGAAATTAACAAAAAAAATATATATATTTGACTTTTTTAAACATTATTATACCAGTGTTCATGCGTAGAAAGGACATTTTTGTCTGTCATATGCGTGGGCTTTCATTTCTGCATACTAACTGTAAAAAACACACCATATTTTGGCTATTTCTGCATAGCAAAACTATCCATTTCTTGGCTTTTCTTCATCAACATCAAACTTTATAAATAGGCGCTTCCTCACTTTGTATTTAAGTGATTATAAGAGACAATTTACTCTGCTGGTAGATAATTCATTCCCGGGGATGACTGTTTGTTTCCGGAAATGTCGGAAAAGGTTTATATGAAATACTATTTAATGGGAATATTATTTGTTGTGTCAAAATGATGTAGCATTCTTATGTTAGGGAAAGGTTTGTAACCACCTTTCCTCTTGCACTGTAATTTGTTTTATGTTTCGGAGCACTTTTTAGATGTGTATTTTCAATATTTCGACTTGAAATACCATTGATGAGTTGTCTTAACCTTACCGATTACCGTACTGTTCAGCAACAGCTTTGGCTTTCTACATCAAAATATTCAATTTTCAAATAGCTGTTTTCTTCTTCGTTTTTTTAATATTTTAAATCAAATTAATACAAATTTGATATCAAATGCATTGATGAAAAACAACGAATTTAAAGCCTAGTTACTGATTCCATTTTATAGATTTATATTATTAAATGAGAAACAAAAAAAATCAGATTTAAAAATGAGCTTTAGTTTACGCGCAGATAGACAACATAAACTGTACACTATTATAAATCATTCGAATTTATCCTACATGAATACGGGTTATAATATATACCGGTTATGCAAGTATACTTATAACACGTATCAACATGAAGTATCTGTGTAGATACGGGTTTTATATTAAACATACATATAAATGGGTAAAAATGACATTAACTGTCCGACTTGCCGTTTATGACGTACGGAGACGGGTTCAATATATATCTGACAATACAGGTTTGTGACTTATCATTTTATAATGGTAAAAATAATACTTAATTATGATGGTCGTCAGATTTGAAATACAACCAATATACACCAGGAAAATGTTCTTGTTCAACTGATATAGGTCTATAGCGAGTCCATGTGAGACCGAGGTTACCGGTACATTATATATCACATCTAGTAAGCTGTTTTTTTCCTAAGTTATGTCTGTTCCATGTATCCGACTTACTTATTTTTCAAAATCTTTGAAATCTATAAATCTAATAAATTCAATTGAAATAGGTTTAAAGAGTTACATCAGCATGAGTGCCATGCCCTCTAGCTTTGCAAAAACGTTTTGGTATATAGTATTAAAAATAAAAAATAAATAGGAGATAAAAGTTTAAGATCAAACATTCCTTTCCCTTATTTCAAAGTATACATTTCCTTATAGTTTATACATGTTTCTTACACTTTCATTCTTACTGGTTTAAGGATGTACACCTCTGAGAAGTCAAACATATCCTGTATCAAACTTTTTTCTGATATGCATTTTTTGAAAAAAGGAGTTAATGGCATAGTAGAAAATGAACCAAAAAATCACATGTCCGTGTGCTCGTTTTTTTGCTATGATTAGTCAAAGATACTTCTTTACCATGATATGTGATTTTAGGTGATTTTTTTGTTTTGACCAATTTATTTGCAGAAAAAAATCATATTTTCCAAATTTATATCAGATAAGTATGAATTTTTTCAGAATTGATACAAATAGTCTTTTCTTTTACATTATAGAAGTAAAATTTCTTAATCTTATTTGTTTTATCTCAGAAAAGCGATTTAAGTTACCCCAATCCTCCTTTTTAATGAAAAATAAATCACCAATCTTTGTAGATTTAACGCTTGATATAAAAAGTTCTGCTTTTAAGCTATTTTTAACATTTAATGAATCATAAGAAAATGTGTTTCTCTTTCTTAAACAGACACAAAATTGGGGGGTCCGTATACTCCTATTTGTCCTATGATTTTTTGTGTTATTTTTCACTTTTTGGGGGGTTAAAAATTGAAGTGCTTCAGTTACACTAAGCATGTAAAAATTACCAATAAATTGTATAATTTTCAACTTTGTTGCAAACTTTTTATCATATTTTACATATTGAAGTTGAAAAGCAAAAAAACCCGAATTGCTATAAGTAAAAATGGCGACACAATGACGGTTTAAGTGAGCAATCAAGTGTCAAAAAGGTGAAATTTTGGTCTTTCGTAATGCGCAAGAAATACACATTTTTTAAAATGGGTGTTTGCTACAAAAAATGATCAAGGCTTTTTAAATATTACAAAAAGCTGTTACATGATATCAAAACGAGACTTGAAGAGTACACCCTTAATGCTTACATGTTCTGAAACAAACAAAACCACATTGCCTTCGTCTGAAATAGCAAACCACGCTATACATTCAGGCATTGAGTTAAGATTTCGATTTATGATCATCTTCACTGATGCACATGAAATGGGTATTTAGGAACGATATTTTCATATTGTATAGACTATACCAAATTTTGCATTTACAGACCTGATATTTTATGGAAAAAAATAAATAAAAAGTAACTTATAAACTAAGGATTGCTATCCTTGAATGTTTGAAACTGACATTTTTTATTTCCTTCTACGAAATCACTTAAAATTGAATCATTTCAGGCTTTATAACGAAGAAAAACAATTAGCAATGTGATTTTGTCTATTTATCGTTCTTTAGTATATCAAACAAATAATGTGTCCAAAATGAGAGTCTGGTTGTTAAAAACTACTCCCAAAGCAGAAAATTGTTTGACTTGATACCATTCTTGCATCGTAAAATCTTTCTGGATCATTTATTATATCAGTGATATGGTGATGTAGACCATAGCGCTCTATTTCCTGAAGTGCGGAATAGTTTCCAACTGATATTATCCCTTTTGATTCAAGCATTTCGAGAAAATCGATAATATTTTTACATTCCTTTAATTCTGTTGGATACAAATAGATACTTAAGAAATTTCGGAAAAGGTCAAATTCATTTGACGATATCGGTATAAAATTATAGATTTCATGATATACCCAACGATGGATTTTTCTCGCCTGAAAGAAAATAGTACTTATATTTAGGAAAAACAAGTAAGAGTCTGTACATATATATGTGTGTGATCTAATTTCTGATAAAGCAATAATTAGTCTGCAGCAAGATTGGACATATAATGAATTGTTGACTATTCTATAATTGTAGCACTTACCCCCTCTTTTGCAATAATACATCGATGGAGGTATATATGAGGGAAACGTTATTAAAATGTAAAGTATTAACAAAACTAAACTAAAATTTAGTTTAATATTCATATTATTGATCAGTTACATGTACTTTTCAGAAAGTGCTTTAACATTAATGAAATAGTTTTAAAGTCTTTATGCTATCTTGATTGCTGTGATGTTTGCCATGTTTCAACCAATCAAATGCCAGACACTCCTGAGAAGCATTTATGGATCTTACTTTCAGTTCAGTATTTTTATACTGTCGTAGATAAATGTGCTAGCACGTAATTTTTCCACTTAAAGATATTGGTTTCTATTTTATTTTGTGTCCAAAAGAAAGACGAAACTTTAAGAGATATGCATCCCTTCGTTACTGTTCCAGATGTTGAATATTATTTAACTTACCCGATACAGATCTCTTCGTTGTGTTGGAGTAGCTTCACCTATTTTTTAAAAGCAAAGTTTATTCACAATATATTCATCTGCAGAAAGTATTTTTTATTAACGAAGATTATAAAAAGTAACCTTTAAGACCCAAGACACGTCTTCTAAAACAGAACGTTTCAGTAGCGGTACTGACAAAAACAGAACTATGATCAAAGATACTGATGCTGCACATCAAATAGGTTTGGATTACTCCCTTTTTGTTCACCACAAAAATGCAGTTTCAAAAGCATTCAGTCATTTTAAACTAAAACAAATGAGATCCACATTTAAATAAAGGAAAAAAGGATGGTCGACTCATCCAGGAAAAGACAAAATTATTGGCGATCAATGCTTCAAGAACATATGGCGATCCAAGCGTTATGTACTTCAAGCATACAATGTAAAATAACACAAAAATAAAAGGATGATAATGTATGCTATGAATAAAAAAAGGTAGAAAAACCAGGCAAAAATATCAATATTTACAAAGAAAAACAGCAAATTGAGGAGGTATCACACAAGAATTGCTCCAGAAATACAAGCGTGTTTTGCACAGTATGTGGCTCTCGTTGTGAAGTCTCTTGGCAATTTTAGGAGAGTATATCCCTCAGCAGTGATCTGAGATAAAATCACGATGCTCTTGGCTATGTGGAAAAATTAACTAAGGTCAAGCATGACGAACGTTAAAGTCAGTACAGGTACAAGCTTGTCAAGTAGACAGCTCTGGTTAATTATTGTATATAGAGAAACTTTCGACTAGTCAAATAATTGCCCTTGACTAGTAAAATCTATTTCCGCCCAGTGTAAATTTGCCCTTCACCTTCAATTAATATATAGGGTAAACTGTGTACTAATATTCACTGGCATGAACAATTTGCCCTTATTGTGGAGGGCCAAAATGGTGAAAATTAAACTGTAGCGAACATTTCCCGGTATACAATAATTCATTGATCAGCACAACGGATGCATCCAGAAAGTCTTGCTCTCTGTAACAGGCTTTGGAGTAAATGCTTATTTCGGCATAATGTGTAAACCATCTACACGGGTAATGCTGGTATGTTATAACCGAGGAATAAAAGACCAACTCAAGTTTTGTTACTGTAGTTAAATATCAAAATAAAATGTATCTAATGAAAATTAACTTACTTTCTTCGACCGACGATTTCTTTGGTACTTGGATTGGGTTAGAAGCTGGATGTTCAGCAGGAATATCTGTAATAATAAGATAAAGATTAAGAAAAGTATTGAAGCTCGATCAATTTTTTTTGTTTGAATTGTGAGTGCAACTCTATTCTCTATTTTGATTATTACATGTACATTTCTGTTATCAATAACTAGTTTAACTTCTCTGAAAACTTACCAACAGCAGATTTGGCATTCATAAAGTAGTAAATGCAAAGTCCAGTCACAGAAACCGACATGATTGAAATACACTTTACAGCACAGGAGGAGTTCTGAAACAATTTATAGTGTATATAACTATTTAAAAAAATGTAAGATTTCAAGCATTTACTATATTAAGATTCATTCATTAAAGATATAATAAAACATAAACTAAAATATTTCTCACTAGAACACTGACAGCCTAGTAAGGTCCCTGTCTTGTGGCAATATATCCCCCATAGTCATCAAGAAGCAATCTGCCCATATAGCTGAGCTTGACGTTTGACATTTGGACTTCCAAAAGAATCGCAAGGAAGCAAAATATACATTTTACATGTACTATGATGGGAGTCTTGTTTCCTTCCCCCTCCATATTTGCTGGGCTAACAGAAATGTAAATACCGGTGCAATACTCATTTGTGAACTTTGATTTGTTTTATTTCACCTTAAATACCTCCTACATCAAGAGCCAGGGTCAAAGTCAGAGATCCACTTTGTCTTTGACCTTTAGACCCAAATAACCTTGACCATTAACCTAGTTACCCTGAACTTTCGTCAGTTGACTGATTCTTTCATTCCGACCAACTTTGCTTCTTGATATCATAACAAAATGTTCATCAGTGAAAAATACAAAACTTGACCTTGACCCTTTGGACCCCGTAACCTGGACCTAAGGTCAGTTGACTCTGTGTTAAGTTGCTTCATAATGTCATAACAAAATGTTCATCAGGAAAAAGGTACAAAAAATTTAACCTTGACCTTTGACCCAATGACCTTGGGTCAGTTGACTCCTTGTTTAATTCTGATCAACTTTGCTTCATCATGTCATAACAAAATGTTTATCAGTGAAAAGATGCAAATTTGACTTTGACCTTCGAATCTAATGACCTTGACCTTTGACATCGACTTTTTACCTCAGTGTGTCCTTTTGTTTGATTCCGAACAACTTCGCTTCATAATGTCATAGCCAAATGTTCACCAGTGAAAAGCTACAAAATTTGACCTTGACCCCTGACCCGATGACCTTGACCTTTGGTCAGTTGACTCCTTGTTTAATTCTGATCAACTTTGCTTCATAATATCATTACAAAATGTTCATCAGTGAAAATATGGAAAATTTGACTTTGACCTTTGAACCTAATGACCTTGACCTTTGACCTTGATTTTTTACCTCAATGTGTATTTTTGTGAATTGAACATCTTGACCATGTTTCATGTACATCGGTCAATAAATACCAAAGTTATCAGCCAGGAACAGAATTTGTGGACGGACAGACAGAAAGAGAGATTACTATAGGGCACCCGTATCTCCGATACGGGGCCCTAACTAGATTGATATTATATACTCCCAAAACGACTGTTTCGTGAATAAAAATAAATCAATATTTACCAGAAATGTATATACAATCACACCATAAATAGCTATTGTCCACATCCTTGTCTTCAATGGATCATCCTTTCAACAAAAAAAGTCAACGGCAAGCTTACAGTTTTTAATTTATTTTAGTATTCCTAAATTATTCCAAAATTCCAAGTATGTCTTCGGTTGTTTACAAATAATGATCGAACAGGTCTTTAATTTCGCAATGAAACTTTTTAAGTGTAACACACGTGCACGTGGCAGCATGCATACATTTTGACTCTTTTTATTTACAGTAATACATGTCAGAAGATGAAATTTACAATGCGAAATATACAAAAGTTATCTTTTGCTCGTTTTACCTTTGGTATTTGTTTGTTTTTGTTTTTGAAGTAAGAGTAATATTTCCAGATGTAATAAATACTTATTTATCATTTAGATAAAGAATAAGTCAGTTAAACATAATTTTTGTGGGCTGCTCGATATGTTGGAAGATAATGGGATACACACCAAATATGATTACATTTCCCCTGTCAGCATGATACTAAACAGTCAAATAAAATAAGTATGATTTATATACACCATTACGAAAGTATAAGCCACGAACACCTGTGGAATTAATGACAGTGTTTTTAAATGCTAATTGTGTCTCTGGAATTAAAGTTTTATGAAGGCCAGTTAACTTCTTAGCGTAGGCAAGAACATAAATATCTTATAAGATCATATCACAGCGGATCATTATAAATATATCTTACATTTACAGCGGGTTTGTCGGCTTTTACATGCTTTCCTCGCTCTGCATCTGAACATGTTGCAGGGTCCTGAATAAGAATAATATTTATAAATTACCAAGCGGAACTGATACAAAAATATTTTGATGAGTCTTAAAAATATTGGTTCATGTCCCATTGGCAGGACAAATACAGGTCAAGTAAATATGATTATTATCGAGCTTTTGATGACGCTGTTTTGTTATTATTTTTTTTTTAGTACAAATCATGATTTGTTTGCTATTTTTGTTATTTTTGTTTAATGTGTTACTGTAATTTATTACTACGATGCGTTTGTCGCTATCCCTCGATTTATTCTATGAATTGAAAATCGAATGATCCATGGCGTTTTCTAGTGTCAGATAAAAAAGATAATATGTGAATCATAAGTATCATATCATTATAAAACATGTAGTTTAGATATTGACATACTTTCGCTTGTGTTTTTGAGTCACTTGCATACGTTTCCTGGTTTCGGGATGATGGTGCTGGAACCTTAATGAGGATATTGATATATGATTATATAAATGTTTAATGCAAACATGCAGAAAACATCTTACAAACACGTTGTATTATTAAAATTTAGTTCCTGAATCAGACTATTAAATTAAATAGAGAAGTCTGGTTGTGAAAATTCTAATGCTAAAACCTTTATTCATAAACTGAAAGCGAAATATGATTAATAACACTTTATATCAATATAGTTTCCTTAATCTAAAATGATAACACTTAGGTGTGAAACTTATAACAGAAATAGTATGATTGTTTTTAATCTTACCAAAGTCCTCCATTGACGTCTTCTATTCTTTCTTTGCTTTTTCACTTTAGTCTTTACTTTAACCAGCTTGCATTCTGTTTGTAATTCCTGGATTTTGGATTAAAAATATTAATTTAATTTTTACTTTATTGTATTAAATTGTTTACAAAAACATTATACTCAGTATAATTTCATCGAAAAAATATGTAAAATTGTATATGTATTTTCGTGTATAACCGTAGCTTGTTAACATACTGGAACAGGGCGTTCGTATACCCTCAACAATTGTATTGCTAATTATTGGGGGATTGTTTACCTAATACTACGAAGCGTCGGTGAAAGATGATGTTTTGATTTGCTTACTGTTTGTATGATTGCTTTCATATATCAGAACTGAATTTAAGATATTCATATACATATAACTCACATTTGATTGTGGTGTTCGATCACTTCCATGTTTGTTCCGTTTGGCGGTTGGGTCTGGGCCATCGTCCTTGAATGAGAACTTTTTTTTTTTAGTGACAGCAAACACATTTTGACGAGGGCTAAATGATCAATATTGATTGCAACACTTAAATCATCTAAAAATAATAAAAGAATTAGAGAGGGTGAATTTTATAGTTCCAACATAGTATCAAAATGTATTCAGACGATCTTTTTTTGAGCTTTAGATATATATTGTAATAACAATGATAAAATAGAATATCGTATAAACGAGCTTCATAATATATACCAAATTTTCTCGAATTCTTTTATTCCTTTTTCGCTCTTCCATTTCTTTAGGAATTTGGCTTTGTGTGAAGATAGTTGTGCCGCTGTTTTCACCTCCATCGATTTTCTCACCAAGCTGGTAGTCTAAGGGTGGTTCCTGTTATACCAAAACAAAAACATTGTTAATCATTCCAAAAAGCAAATGGGGTATATAACATGGTAAGGAGAAAATAACAACAAAGTATGTTTGATTTTTATGTACACAATAAACGTTCGATTGAAATATTTTATAAACTTATACGTTAATGATAATTGCTTAATGTTGTCGCATCTGATCTTCATAAAAAACTACATTTTGGTGACTGTTTATTGATACATATTGTTTTGAGATGATAAAAGTCATTTTGTTATTTTAATGTAAATCAATATATTTTCGGTGAAGAAAGTAAAAGTAGAAATAACATACGTTTTAAAAGCACATCTGTCATATACAGTCTACAACAGTGTGTAGTTATGGAAAAAATCCATCAAACCGTAAGGCAAAGAATTAAGCATTAAATGCTTTCTTTGGAAAGTTATTGTCCTACAATTCTCACTGGTTAACGCGTTATGACTAATTTGTCTGCAATCATGTGAGAATTATAGGACAATAAATTCCCAAAGAAGGCAGTTTAATACTTATATTACCGTTTTTAATTGATTTTTTTCTTATATTTCCAACTTGTTATCGCATTTCAAAGTCAAATTTCGCGCTGTCTGTCAATGGGACCTGTTCTTGTGACGTCACGAGAACACGCGACCGTTCCCGGCAAAAAATTGAAGTTTGTAGAAATAAACATAAAATCATCGATTTAATTTCAATTATTTAATCAATATTTTCGACCGTGAAGATATTCACCTTTTACACAACATAACTACATAGTAATACGCTTAATATAGTGATGTCGGTCAAAACGAAGTCATTTAGTCACGAAGTTACGAACATATCACTACACCAATGGGAATTATGTGAGAAATATGATCTGATATCTTTTTATTTTGTTTGGTAAGGTTCTGTACAATGTAGTGGCAATGCAGAGCAAATGGGAAGATTGATGCATAGGTAATTCTTATGAGGTTAGTAACGAAAACTGTTACCTCATAATTTCCTGATCCATTTTGATGATAATTGTTTGTTTTTCCTGGAACGTCATCTTCGTTTGTTGTTTCGACTGTACATACTTTTGATAATTCTTCATTTGGTTTACAAACGCGTGTCTCCTGTATTATGATAGAGTTTATAATGGTTACTTTCCAATTATATTTTACAAATGGTATTGAAATGTTCTAAATATGTAATAATTAGTTTGTATTCAAATCAGACTCAAAATTTATGTACTTCAAATTAACATTAGTATTTGATCGACATTTGGAAGATCATGACACGAAGTCCGTAAAATGAATATTCAACTTTTATCCCGGATTCAAAAACTTCCTTTTTACCTCAGAGATAAGCTCCTGATGGTGATCGTTCTGTGACAATGAAGAACTGTATTCAGGGGTGGCTTCATTTAGGTCCATTGGCTCAACTTGTACCTGACATAAATTGTATATAAGTCATGAACATATCGTTATAACATAATACAGTATACTTATGACGACAGCTATTATCTGCAAAGCATATCATACATTTCATAACTTAATAAACTATGTTTAAAGAGCATTACCAGACTAGGGTTTAATAATATTCTTATCAATTTCTACAAAGTATGACTCCTTGATACTACCAAATGCTGTTTATTTTACTTACCAATGAAATGTACGGGATTCGCATTGCAAACATGAAATTATGTCTATTATTAATACGTGGTTCCTTCTTCATATTTCTAATATCTATGTTACATGACAAGATGATTGACTTTAATGATGGACTGTAAGTCCCCGAGGAACACAGTTTTAAGCATTCGAAAATAATAATTAAAGGATGCACAGAGTTTGAAATGAAGTCCAAATACAAAGTACACAATGACCAAAGTATTATGTCCAGATAATGCTGGTACTAACCTCACTGATTCTTAAGACAGGTTTCTTGCAATGCTCTGACTCTGGGGAAGAGATTTGATGGGCATATCCTATATCATCTTCTTCCTTGTCCAATGTTCCCTCTGTGGCCTGAAAATAAGATGATTTATTACAATTACGAAAAAAAGTATTAAAACATATACTAACATTTATTTGTACTCGTTAAAATATTTATAAATGAAAATAACTGAAACAAACATCGATGTCGTACTGAGGTGAATATCTAATTTATAAATTAACTTAAATCAATTCATTTTTTAAAGTATGATCTATTAAGTGATCTAATGCACGTCAATTACAAATGACTAACAAATACACATGTTCCTATATAGACATTAATAATCACCTGATTTTCACTATTGGGGCCTTTATTAAGTTCTTCTAGTACTTCCATGGCTTCAGGTATCTGAAAAGAACATGTTAGTTAAAAATCTATTAATTGTTTTAGCAACACAAAAAGAATCGCCACTTTACAATGAGAGAAGTATTTTTTTTCCAAGAATAATTCCAACTGGTAGTTAAAGAACTTTCTTAAACCAACAAACTAATAATGTTTACATTTCGATACACACCAACGTAGGATACATGTTTGTCTCTTTGCGAAATGAAGCATTCCTAGTATAAGAACAATGAGAACAAGATACCTGACGGGACTGTTAAAGGATGGTATTGAAAATATAACAGTGCACACAAACTTACACTACAGATTGATTAGTTATGCTTTGCATCATATGAATCTTTGTTGAAATATTTCAGTATAATCAACTTAAATAGATAAATGTCATTTTTTTGGACAAACTTGATATCATTTGTCCTGGCAAGTAACATGCCTAATTCCACACGAGTGTATAAAAAATATTTTTAACATATTGCGCTCCTGTGACCAAGAGAGTGAACAGAAAATAATAAAAGAAGCAATATAAATCAAACCGTAATTTGAACTAAAAATCTATTAACATGGGGCAAATATACGAACAAAGAAATCAATTACAATTCGATTTAAAATAAAAGTACAAGGTAAATAAGAGTACGTGATCCAAACTGCTAAGCGTTTCTTGTTCCATCGACGACACCCGACTGGTAAATCTAAGACCAATCTTAGTACAGTTATATTCTCAAAAGAGAAAACAGGTTAGTTGCAAAAATAAACCACTTATAGGCATGATTAAAATCCATATATTCTTTTCCGAGAAAGCATTTTTAAAGTATACAAAAACATAATTGACTCCTTTGATGTTAAAACAAATCAATATGATAAGCAAGTGATATGCTCAAAATGATTACCCTTAGCGCTTAAGGTATTTTAAAAAGAATTTCACGTTTTTAATCACGCTCTTGAAATGGTTATTCATTTGAACAAACATAGTAGCCCTCTTCCCTTGCAACAAGCAAAATATTAATGAGCTTTATGGACCGTCAGGAGTAGTCACTACAGGGACAGTTGAGGCCGGACGTTCGGTCGCAGCGCAATGGTAGTTGAGTCAATTTAAAAAAAAAAATATATCACCTGATGCTCCGTAACTGTCTCATTGTCAGACCACTCATTGTCTTCGTTTAGTTCAGTGCCTTCCGGTATCTAGAAAAAATAAACCTTATATGCAAATAAGCTTATCGTTACATTGAAACAGATGGATGCATATTGTATTTAATCATTGTGGTTTTGCTTCAAAATGCCCTGGCTTTTACCAAATAAGTAGATAATCGTCCAAAACTAATATACAAATCAAGATGTTGTTGCAAAACATTTAACTAAGTTGGAAATATGAAGAGAGAGCCAAATAAGAGGTCAAAGTGTCAAATGTATACATTAGCCGGAAATACGTTCCTTTTTCAACATGGCATGTTTTCTTACAGCACAGTCAGAATCAATAGTGACATCTTCTCTGAGGATTTGTCTAGATACAGTGTGTTCTGTCCAATTTTCTGTCGTTGCAGAGTTGATGGCAGTTTCAAACATCTAAAAAGGAAGATTGGCAATAATTATGCAAACGGAAAAATTAAAATACTACTTTATGTATTAGTTTGAATGTCCAAGACTTTAATCTTATCATTGATAAAAAAAAGTATGTTTTATATGATGATACGTTAACAATAAAAAGCAAACATACCTGTAGTTTTTCTTTATTGTATTCCTGTGTATTCTGAGAAATATCTGTCACGTCAGGACTGCAATACTGTTCATGTGTAAGAGCAAAGAATGATTATAGATATATTCATTTATATCTATGTAAGTTTTCAATGCTTATAGCACGTCATTAAACATAATAATAACATCGCTTTTGTTTTATTTTCAAATACTCAAAAGTTAGTTTTTTCCAACACGCCAACATGAACATAACAAATCCTATGAAGCATGCTAGTTTAATACCTACACTATATATTTATTAGATTTTAATCTCGTAAAAAAAGTAAGAATTTATAAAAACGCAGCGTTTAGTTAGAATAAGTGTATGTTTCGTGGCTACAACAGCCTTCTTTATAGGAGCCACAGTGGTATCCAAAGTAACAACTATGACGTTATAATAATGTTAACATAAACACATTTGTCAAAAAAAACCAAAACATTTCGTGCTAATTTATCATAAAGGGTGGCAAAGTGTGGAACTAACCGTTGTTTTGATTTTGATACTTGAAAATTATATTGATTATGAAATACTTCTTGTAATGTGGAATCGTTTATGAAAATCGCAATTCGGTACAATATTATAATCCGAGATTTCCGATGTTACGCTAGTGTGATGGGAGTGAGTTCCGGGAGTAATCTCCCTCGTCCTGCTTGTATTGTAACTGTTTAGTTTTATTTGATTGGATTTAGTTTATGCTCTTCTTCTTATGGGTTGCTAAACAAGGACCAGGAAGTTAAACTATGTTGTCACACTGCTTGGTTAATGGTATACCATTGATAATATCAAAATGTAAGGTTAACTAGAAATTATTAGCAAGAAAACATTTAAACTAACCGGAGCAATCTTATTCCTTCTGTTTCCTCTTCGTTGAGACTTTTCCTTTGTCTGCATATTTACATCTTTTCGCAACCGCCATCCTTGTATAGAAAATAAAACATTTCGATGAAAGAATCTTAAAGCAATGGCAGTGCTTATGTTGACTTATAAATATATGATTTGAACTATTACACTAGAGGCGTAACAGTTTAGAAAAAAAATGGAAAAAATACGTACCAATGCTCTTCGAATAAAAGCGCTTGATCAATTTCGCAGTCTCATGTCTTATACTTTCCTTTTTTGGATTGCTGAAAGGAAAATAATACAATTTAAATTAGAATGCATATAAGTTAATTCCAGTTGTTTATTTATTCAATTTGTGTCTGTCTCTTTGTGTTTAACAAAACAAGTGTACGTCTTAAGAATGTATCTTACTGATTTGTATTATCTTCAAACAAAGGTTCATTTTAATACATAAGGAAACAAAACCTATTTGTATATAGTTAAAATCAAACTTTATATAAATCATCATAAAACAGGCAAATATTTTGTTCATAAGAAAGTATTAGGTTTTAACCGAGGGTCTACGCTTCGTGATTCTACACATCTCAAAGTATATTTATACGTTCCCAAAGTAATGAAAAAATATACATGGAAACAACATAGAATAACGTTGGCAATACCTTTTCGACATTGTCCCTGGAAAACAGTGTTCGTTTAACCCACAGTTTTAGCAATACTACACAGGTTTTAAGGTAGTGATTATTCCAGATAAGATAAGCATTCAAAATGCTACATATTGTATGTCGCATTTAACTCAATATGACACAAAGTTCCTTCCAACACTGTTTAAAGACCATTTAGAAAATAAAACTTTTGGATATTTTTCTCAATAAAACGGATGTTATAACACATTAGAAAGCCGTTGATTTTTTAAGACACACAAACTAAATCTAAAATATAAGAACATATATTTCAGATTGTTTGTTGTATTCTGTATAACAGTTTACATGATGGAACTTTTTCGTTTTACAATCTGAAAATGAGAACAATTTTTTCCTGAAAGTTTATCTGAATATGCAATTGAAATAAAAATATTTTACAATAGTGTGTTATTTGGTTGATTAATAGCAATTAACAAAAACATTCATTTTAATTTTCTTTTGCAGAAGTATGTTAAACTATGTAAAAGGTAAACAAAAAGTAAATGTATATGAATTTTACTCACCTTTCATACATGATCCTGACTGTTCTAGCAAAACTTTGACACCGAGTGGTTTTACGTCCGCTTCACTACCGAGTAGTTCAGTTATCCAACAGGCGATATATGTTCGTTGATCCAGTTTATATATTGAGTGTGAAATGCAAAGAGCATGCGCAAATGATTAAAACATTGAGCTGTTGGTTCTGTACGGGGTTAAGCAGGCTTCCACGTTAGCCAGATATAATGATATGCTAGTTGGTTAGATAATATTCTTTAAATAGATTTCGTAGAACTACAGGACCAACAAAAATAGAACCAAGGCAATACAATTGCTCACTTACAAATAAGGCATGCTTAAACATTGCATTAAATGAATATTATTGTATCTATGTGCGCGGTTCCATGACCTGGAAAATAATTTTCACAAAACCGAGGCCCGTTGTGCTTTTGATATTATTGATTAAACCCGTGGTTTAGACGGTAATAATAATAGCATGCATGAATCATGTAGTGTTGCTTATTTTCCCCCTTAAACTCTAGTTGCAACAACCGATGCCGTTGAGTAGGCACTAAAAAACGAACATTTATATTTACATGTATTACTTGCTTCACGGTATACGGAAGACCAAACTTCAAACTACATGCGAGCGTTTACGTGTCTCTACACACCATTTCTGCTATACGGCTTCATTTTGAACATTTTTTCCACCTATTTTACTGTTTGGTCAAATTGAAGCATAAACAAGAAAGTAAATAAACAAGGCATTATCTTTTTTCGGGTACATCCGTGAAATAGAAAATGTATCACAATGTCCATTCACCGGTATCTTAATGAGATATGCTTCATTTGCAGAGCACTAATAAAAAAGTGATGAAAAGTTGTTTCGCTCTGCAATAGTCTGTGAAATGATATCTTTATCTATTATTCGATAAAATCGTTTTTTAATTAAAAATACTCAATCAAATATTACAACTTTAGTTTCTAACAGTTGAAATTAGCAACCTTCCCTCATAGCTTTAAATTGCTCAACAGTGGTAATGGTAATGCGTTGGCTAGCGAATATAAAGCTGTCTCTGCTCTGTTCGTGCCGTGACATTCATCGAGAATACAGATATAGAAATGAGGTAGTTAGAAGTGTTTACCTGGTCTAACATTACGTCGGCTCCGCCTATTAAGATACGAAGTAAAAACAAGACATAGTATGCAAGGGTCAAGTATTTATCTAAGGGGCAATGCATACACATTGAGAGCTAAGCAAACTTGTCCGATGTCATTCATGTAATGCGCGACATCAGACAAGGCAAATTCTACCTTTTTCGCTGTTAAATCTAAAATCTATTGTAATTATACACGCTGCCAGTAATTTTTTTCTAAAATATCAAACAGGTATTTTGTAAAGGTGAACAGTGATTACTATTTGATGATAATATATGAAAATTTCCATCCAGTTATGTCAATAATTATTTAATGACTAAATGAAAATTTACATTGCGTTATATCAATATATTGTTGATAATTGTCGATGTTTCGACATGTGACAGGTAGGTCTATGAATGGTAACCATACAAATAGACTTCAAAGTTACTTCAAAACTAAAACGCTAACTACACACCATACATTTCATAATAAGGGCGCCGGATGTTGATACAAGACTTCTTTATCAGGGATGGTTAACACATATTTCGAAAAAAAATGATGTACCAAGTAACAATTTTGATTAAATGATATTTTGGTCATTTCGGTTCTACCAAGCACTATGTTGATTTTAAAATTATGGTTATAAGGGTGAAAACCAATAATCTTGTGCTTTTATTGGTTTGAACCTACATCAGAATGGAATAGCCATGTTAAAACCAATTTAAGTGCTGTTATGTATCTTCATCCGTTTAATGTATAATTTCCCGAAAATGCTGAAAATTAAGGGGGAAAAAAAGAGTTCCACTGGACGTTTATGGCCATCTAAACTCAAAGAACGGACACACGTTTGATAGGTGCCATATTTAATCAGATTGAAAAGGTACAATATCATATGTGCTCCGCTTTTCATAGAACAAATGTATTGTTTTGTATAAGTTGTGTCTAGCTGCGTGAATTCTAATTGTTGGTGTTTATATAACAATCGAAAGTTCGATGAATACAATCAATGATTGTAATGATAGGTTCCAGGTTCTAATAATCCTTTTTTCACAACAAGAAGTACATTAATTTTTAAGTGCAAAAGACACCCTAGATGCCAGCATAAAGGTCACTGTGAAAATAAACGACCCTAATAAGATATTTATGCTATAATAATTTATCATACGTATATCTATTCATGGTTGTTTGGGCTTACGCATTATTAAACATTTACTTTATACACAACCAATATACGTTTTAAACCAGTAACCTAACCGATACGCTCTCTATCGATAGGCAAAACGTCTCGGGTCGTCACAACTGGTGTACAGGTAAACATTACATATCACACACTTAGTCATAGCTTAACGAATGAGTTACTCGGTTTTGAAACGTTTCGACAAACGTATAAAGTGAATAAAGTATTTATCAGTATTTCCAAACTGATCAATCTTATAAAAGATGTGGTATCAAGCATGTTTCTGGGAGAGCATGTGTGACGTATGACGACGGATGAAATAGATCACTTAGGAGGAAATCTCATTAAGCAATAATTCAGAATTATTTGTGTGGTTTCAATGCGTACACTATATTGTGGGTTGTTTCTTCATTAATCAATCAAATATCACTCATAATGTTTTAAAGTTTCATGGAAATAAGATTCACGAGAGGTTAAGTTGTATTAAGCATAAATCCTTGTATGGGTTAGTAGTGCGTACTATTGACATCGGAGCAGTGGTATGACCTTGGTTATTTTTAAAAATTGGGTAGGTGTACAGAGTGTAGGCTATTTAAGGTATAAATATATATATAACCATGTAATCTATACTATCTATAGATGACACCAATATCCTGAAAACTTTCGTTTTTAAGTGTTTGATAATACTTGAATATTTATCAGTTATAAAATCGATGATAAACGTTAAGTACTAGAGATCCTGCCAGACAGATAATACAACCAGAGAGATTGTCCGATGTCAATATAAATTATATATATGGAGGCCCCTGGTAGGACACACCTTCTCCTCGAGATTATATTGTAGTACGCTGCGATTTTGTTAGTCGGTCAAAGATAATGTTTTTCAGTGAAACAGCAAACACATCGCAAGTAGGACCCAGGGCTTCAAAACATGACCATGCTCTATTTTTATGCGTTATTCGAATTATAATGGCGACTGGTTTACTGTGTATTGTGATTATCTAAGTTTCTAGTAATTCTTTCTGCTACATATCATACTATGGCACTAGATTTTATTGACTTTCTATATGTCAATAGGATTGAATATCAGGCTAGGCCTATTAAGTCCTTTCCAAACTAACTGCTTTTTCAATTATCGTCAGTTGGTAAGATAGTTAAACATAAAATTGTCTTTCTTAATTTGACGAAAGCTCCCCACTGGTCACAATAAACGACATAAAGAACAATATCTGTATGAAGATGCAACTATTGTGTATGCCAAATTACAAAATTATTTCAAAAGCTTGTTGTGTGATTTGCTCTCACATTCAGGTAGAACTCGCATCAAAACGAGCACTAGGGAACAGCGGCTCATTATCGACCCAATACCAGCGTTTTGATATGTTACACAAATATTGCCTTCACCGACTTTAAGCGACGGCGAGCGGACTCTTGGACTTGATTGCATACAACATTTGTGGGTTTTACGAAAGTCGATAAATAAACAACTGTATATTACAACTTATGTTTGTAACAGTTGAAAGTAGCAAACTTTCTCTCATCGTTTTTACATTACTCAAAATTAGTAATGGT